TAAAACGACCGTGATTATGGTTATGTTCATATTTTTTTAACAAATAGAACTATGATGGCATTGAACCAAATCGAGTATTATACGAACTAAAATGTATATTTGGCAGAGAAACTATTGGAGCATCAAAACCATATGAGTTTACTTTAAGATACAATTATTTTTTGCAGCAAAAAAATTCAAAGATGTTAACTTGATTAAAAGGCTATTATTGGCCTACAATAGTATTTGAACAATCATGAATATTTGTAGCTAATGTTGTGCTATTTTCGGCTGTCTTAATATAAATTTTAGTGTAGTATATGTAGAAAATACTAAGAACACAAGATTTACCATGGAGAATAAGAAAATTAAGAGGAAAAATAGAGGAAGGAAAAAAGAGGAAGAAAAAATCGAAAAAAGAAAAAGAAGAAATTAGTGAAGACAAAATAAATCGCAAAGACAAATTTAGAATATTTGGCCGCAAGTAACAATCTCATAAGAACCTAAAATAAGTAAATGAATAACAACGAAAATGAACAAAGAAGGACCTGAAGAGAAGTAAGAAGGCAAGAAAGAAGATAAAAACACAACAAGAAAAAATAAGAATACACAAAGAAGACGAAAATGATAAAAGAAAAGAGAGAACAAACTAAAACCAAAACAACAACAAGAAAAAGAAAACAAACGCTGATAATTACTACAACTAAAATAATATATGAATGTTTTCAAAGCGTAGATAATATCTTTAACGAAGTTAAAAATTCACATACTTACTATATCTTTATTTTAATATGCTAAAACATTATTTCACTAATTACGAAATATTATAAATTCTTATCCATCATTGATATTTATTTCAACACAAATACAAAAGTTATAAAACGAAAAAANNTTTAGTTTTGNNGCGACATTCAGAATATTATTTCTATGTATATTGATTTTTTACATGCATAGAATGTTTAAAACTAACAACCATTCATATTTATTTTTGTAGACTGTAAATTGTATTATTAATTACTAAAATTAATGTATTCTTCTAAAATGTTTCAACCCGCACACATTGCAAAGAAGGGGAAAAAAAAACAGAATAATATAACCGTGGATATAATTAACCGAATATGTATGTAGAGAAAACTTCGTAAATGGACTTTCTGATGAATAGCGTGCGTCACAAGAAAAAACAAAACAACAAGGAATCAACCAAGCCTTTAACAAAGAAGTGAATTGAATCAAACGATTATCATTGAGATCTTTCGGTCGTTGTTTGGGTTTGCTGGAAAATGTCGGTTGGAAGAAAAAAAGAGATCTTTCGATTTATC